GAGTCATCAACTTTATCATCTTGACAAAAACTTTTGCTGCATTTTTAGGGATTTTCACCATGATAAATAAATAACAAATCATATTATAAATTTCATCGACTATTATGAGTGTAGGCAATTGATTGTCAGTTGCTTTCGCACTGGTATTAGCAACGAGCAGCCAGCTAAAAAGTTTTTATTGCCAAAAGTGGAGAATCTTTACGGGACAGTCAAAGTTGGTGATGCACTCAACCATTGTTTTTTTATCTTTTTCTTTTTTCCGTTCTCCCTCATTTCCGAGTTTCGCCTCTGCACTCGACGTCTCGTTGTGAATTCCGTCCAGTTGGTACGCCGGATGGTGCGGGATGGTGCGGGATGGTGCGGGATGGTGCGGGATGGTGTGGGATGGTGTGGGATGGTGCGGGACGGCGCGGGACGGCGCGGCGCGGCGCGGCGGGAACGGCATTGCCTCGTTCCCTTAACGTCGTCTCACTTGGGGTATATAATACGAGAGGCGGCAGGAGCGGTAAGCCGACTGGCAGCTGCCTTCCGTGGAACCAACAAGCCTGGCGGTTTCGTCTCACCCGTTTTCTACGCTACTCCATGCGTGCAATCTCCAGAGATTTTCTTCCTCTCTCTTTCTCTCCTGGCGGCATTGTTCTTCATCTCTTTTCCTCTCACTCATTCTGTCCCACGCTTAGCTGGGGTGAGTTGGTGGTACTCACCAGAACCAGAGGCCAAACGCGCGCGTCTGCTCCCAATCCCCATATCCCACTCTCACTCAAACTCCCACTCCCACGTTTACTCCCACTACAACTCGCACTCTTGGTGATGGGACGCTCACTCTCTGCGCCCCAGAGCCGTCGGGCTCCCTCTCAATTCTACTCTGGTGCCACTATCGCTGTACAGTAGGCGGCCCATCGTTGTCGGCGACGGCTGAACACCACAGTTAAGCTCTCTCCCTCTACCGCTACTTCTACCTCTGCCTCTTCATCACACACCCATACTTACCCACCGATGCCCAAGTTTCGTCCACGCTGGATGTGCTCCACAAAATTCCTCCCCGGCTTGCCTTTTTCCCAAAGGCAGAATAACTATTGACGTGAGGAGATACTCGTCCCGCTTGAGGCGTATACAGGGGTCCCGTTCCAAGTTCTCTCTGGCCAGAGGACTCTGATATGAATCTTTGTACTCTCTCTCTGACTCTTTACTTTTTTTTTTTCTTTCTTCTTTCCGCTTATTTCGCCATTTCTTTTTTTATTTTTATATATCTTTTTTTCTGCTGCTTGCTCTCTTCTATAGAGACGCGTTTTTTTTCCTTTTACAAGATGTTTAGTGCACTGCACGTCATTCTGGGCGGAAGGTCAATAGAAAGATGTGCTCTTTGAAGTATCTCAAACCATTTGAATCAAATTTTTCTGCCGCATATTATTTAGCTACAGTAGGACATTATGTGCGGAAAGAAATTCTCACTCCTGAAGTATTGAAGTGTATTACCAATGCGGCTTGAAGCAATTACGCATTTTTCCAAATGGTTATGCTCACACTTCTGGATACGCCTGGTTTAGTTTATATATGTTTGGTCGTTCTAACTCGACGATTCCCAGACGTCGACGGTGTTATCGATTCGACGTTGGGAACCCAGAGGCGCGCGACGCGATGAACAAGGGCGGGAGAGTAGGAGGAGGACGAGTAGAAGTAGGAGTGGGAGTAGAAGTAGGAGTTGGAGTTGGAGTAGGAGTAGGAGTAGGAGTAGGAGTAGGAGTAGAAGTAGGAGTAGGAGAGGAGGATTCCTCTAGTCGATGCTTGAGGAATGCGCGTTCGGCACTTTGGCGGCAAAAGAGTGAGAAAGAGAGGCACGCGCCCTCACATTTCTCTATTGCTGCTAGTAAAAAGGAAAATTAATGAAAGGAAGGTGAGATGTCAGGTTAATTGTTATGCGTTTGGTTTAAGCGGGTGAAATACTCATGGGAATCGTCATAGGGAAAGTATTAACCAGATCGAGTGGTTAAAGTGCACATTTTGACGATTATCCGAGGACAATACGGTTATACTGATTATAAATTAAATTCATTGAATGAAAATCGCCAATAAAGAGAGTGATCCTGGGAGACAGCTTTGTTTAGCCTCACCCTGATTCTCCTCTTTCGTGGCTCATTCTTATGGGCTTTTTTTTTTTCTCTACTTTGTTGTTAATGCAGAGTTTCTCTGTGTGTATCCCTTCCGTTTTCCCCCTGCTCGACAACGTACCGGTCGTTTATCTAAATGCCTACTGGGTGGCCATGTTCTCCCTCTTTCTCGTGGAGGGTTTACACTCAACGCTAAACCAAAGTTAATGCAATCAAGTTCACACCTCTCGGCCCTTCAATTGTTCGTTAAACAAAGTATACCACATTTTTTTTTGTTAGTTTTGATGGTGCCATAGCTTAGCTATGCAAATATGATGATGAGGATATAATAATGGATAAATAAAGGAGAAAATGGAAGTGAGGCTAAAGTTTTGCAAGAGGGTCTAAGAATAAACGATCGATCTAACGCCTTTGGGAGTCAAATTAATTGATATTATTACATGCGGCGAAATCCATTTTCGCGATTGGTTTTTCTGAGAGTTGAAGAGCGCGCATGAATTGATCCTTCCATATTTGCATACACCTGCCTTGTTCTTTCGGTTCACTAACTCCCCCCGGCCACTATTTTCCTGGCAAACGGCAAAACAGCAAAGCGGCTTCCGTGAAAATGTTGGAGAGCGAGAGGTAGCGGTGACTCTTTGTGGTACGGCTTAATGATTCCCCAGTGAATGGACGTGGGTAAACTCATGTCCCCAGTCTGTATCATCATACCTCCATCTTCATTGCCCCCTTCAATAAAACTATTCCAACAAATAGAATTCGGTGTCACAGCTTATCGGTACAGTAACCATTTTGGTCACAGCGAACGATGAGTTTGTTGGACGCGTATATAAGCCTATCTATCAACGACAGAGATATAGCGGGCTCTAAAAGAGAAAAGGGGGATATACTACAATACCTGAAGGGAAAATGGCTCTCGATTGTACACGTATAACGGTGAAACGCGAACGACCATGAAACTCGACTAAGCGAAGGTCGATACTCAATTTGGTTCTCCCAATTTTGTGTGATCCCACGTGCATACGCAATTATACTCAAAGCAGGTCGGCCACGTTTATTTTAAAGATTCAAATGACAATGTCCCCTAACCAATTGATAAGACAATTTGATCGAGTAGAAAACGCCCTGACATAAATACAATATTGAATAAAACATTTGTGAATTTGTCATCTGTCAGAGCTGATAAAAATGAAAAACTAAAGAGAAAACTGAAAAAGTCCGCCCCAAATTCAATAATATTTTTCGATGGTTGAAAATTGTTATGCAACAGTAGTATGCGGTGGATAAATTGATTTTTAAACTCTCCTGGGGGTCGAATTTTCCGCATGCGGAGATCGTACAGACCACTGGCGTTTTAGTTCATATACTGTGAAAAGCGCGTGACCAATTGATCTCTGTTTGATACATCCGGTTCCGTCCAAGCGTTCCACCACTTGTTTGCAGTCATTAAAGAATTTCAAAAGCTGCTTGACGTTGCGCCACAATTCTCACCACAATTTTTTTTATTCCCTAATAATAAATAAGGGAAAAATGAGTGTTGGAAGGAGAATTTGCATTGAGGATTTTAAATACACAATGTAATGCTGAACTATTACAACCTCCGTCTGATGATTGCCACTGATTATTCGTTTGCATCAGTTATATCGGTATATTGCATTGAAGTACATATAGTAGTATATAGTTAAACAAGAATGGCTGTGCTCATGTGTGCATATCTCTGGCGCACGACAACTCCTGCGTTCCAATAGATTTGCCGCATCTATGCCTGCATTTAACCCGATAGCTATACCAATGATGTTATTTCAACATGTTACCAAGCTGTCAACTCATTCACCTAGTTGGATCACTTCAAGTCACCCCTCCAAGCACGTGTAGATATTAGTAACGAAATAAATTAATATTAAATTTTGTCTGATTCATATTATAGGTACATGAATTGATCTGTTATTATTATTAACCTTATTTGCCTGATTGATGTTAAAAAAAATTATGTTATACCTTTCACGGGTGTAAATCGATGTGATAGCTTTCACTTGAATAGAACAAGGGCAACAGCCACCCCAAATATCGGGGATTGTTACACGGTCAGACCGCAACCCCTTAATCGCCCAACCCCACCCTCGTAAGCCTCTACGGATTTCAACTTGCAACCCCTTCAACAGGTGTTTAGGGAAATACAATAATGTCGCGCAGGCGCATACAACTTTTCTTGAGTCGTAAAGCCCCATATACGGATACAAGAGGCGGTCAGTAGCTACCACCTCTAACAAGTACCCACTCTCCCTTATATACAATATTGTCCGGTCTCGTGTCGGGACATGTGGTCACGTGTCTCACACCCGCTAAAACCTACTCGTTCTATCTAATATTACACTTGGGCTCGTCAGTCCTACCATTCCTTTTTTTTTTACATTTTTTTTTGTATTTCAATTGAATTGGGTATTTTTTCCAAATCTATGTATGAAAACCTCCTCTAAATCAACACTTGCTTCCTTAATTTGTCATTTCATTTTCTTTTCATTCCTTCATTTGCACACTTTTTTTCATTCCCAGTTTGACAAAAAAAAAAAAAGGGAGGGAACAACGAAAATTTAGCACGGATTACGCCTTGCCAAACAATGTCCACAGGGCTGTTTCTATGTATAAAATTAATACACACAATGCTTTCTACATTGCCGGCGTTTCTCTCTTCTTTATCCATCTCTGAATACAGTCCTCTCAGGAGATATGAAACTCCCGGAGATAAAACAGGTTGTAGTATTACGTCGATAACTACTTCATAGCAAGTTCATCCCCTAACTTATTTTGACAACCCTCCGACAGAGGGTATTAGGCGCGAAATAAAAATTTTATCAAATGAGGATTTGATGATATATTTTTTATGATTAACAGGCGGCCAACAATTCAGATGGGGCAGTACTTTCAGGAAGAGTTTACAAGAAGGTTGCTATTGTTGAGAACTTCTTTGACATTATTCACGCAGTTCATGTTGATCTGGAGGGTCGACCGGGGAAGCATGCTGGCCAAAAGCGCACATACAGAACTGTAAGTCTCAATGCAAATTGAAAAAAATCCATTGAAAGTCATCCAGCCATTGAACTTATTAGTGGCAATTCTATGTATTATCAACACTATTATGTGTTGTATGTTGTAGATCGTCGTTAAATTGTCGATATACCACGTGCACGTTATCTAAACCACTCTCCTGGGTATCGTATACCTTCTTCTTTGATTTTTCTCCAACACTTCTTTTCCCCGCTCTCTCCTTTATTTCGCTTTCTATTTCAAATAATCTCTCTCACTCATTCCGGCTCCTTGATCGTGTTCTCCGACTTGGTATAGTTCTCATCCGTCACATTACCCCCTACTCTATTTTCTTCCTCCCTCTCTCATTTCTCAGTTTTCTCTATCACTCTTATACGCTAGCGCTCTCACTTCACTTCTATATACTGTCTACGATCTGCTTGTGATTCAAAACCTCAGGACACTTGTTGCATTGCCTGCTTACACACAACTTCCTCTCTATCTCTGTCATACTTTCGTGTATATACGTATACATAACTCTATATATGCGTATACTCAATATATACATATATTTGAACCCGCGCAACTTGTGCAAATATTCATTCAAACATCGTCCGAATGTTCCAGTTTTCTTACGCTAAGTCAAAGACACATTAATTTCATTCTCATTAAGCATTGTTATTTACAAATAACATATTAATAATCCAATTCAATGGAGAATAGGGAAAGCGATTAGAGAGGCGGAAACTGACAATTTCAATTTTCCGTCTTTATTGAAACATTTTAAGGATGCACTTGAGTGTCAACTCTTGGTTTCCGTCAAGGCAGTCAAACCCCAAGTAAATCTTATTCAATTATCCACTTGATTTTCTTCATACAGTATTTGTATTACACATTATACATACAAATAACCTTTGCGCCTTTCTCAGATCCAAAGCTCTCATCTTTGATTGTATTACATCATACTACCCCTGTACTGCCTTCGTTTGAGGGAATGGTTTCCTCGAGGCAAAGAAACATACCCCACAGCATATCTCTGGAAGACATCAAAGTTTCCTCTACGGGCTTTTCACTCACCAAAGTCCTTCTCTATTCCCTTTTTTAGTTATTTTTACTTATTTATTGTATCAGCCTTGGACCTTCCTCTCCCAGTGTCTCACCGAGCAAGGGCGAAAGCCCCCGGTTATCCAAGTGATGAATCACTAGCACAACCATATGGAAAATCAAAGGGATTGCATGATTACTATTAGTATGTTGTTTTTCTATCTTTTTTTTTTTTCTTTTTTTTTTTCAATGCACTTTGTTCGGTAAAAGCAATACTAAACACGATTACCCCGTGTTTGCTCTTTGCTCCAGATTACCGAGACATACGCCTTTTTACCCCGCGAAGCTGTTACGAGATTTCTTCTTGGTTGCACAGAGTGTCAACGTCGTCCCCGGACACCCAGTCCAAACAATCTTGTAGCTCAATCACAAAATACCGCTTCAAATCCATCAATACCATCGACCCACACTAATCCACAGATTGGTGTAACAACGCCTTTGAGCCCCACACCAGCAACTGCTCTCTCAGCATCACCATTACAAAGTAGTCTGAGGCCACGTGAAGCCAGTCATCCGCCAGAGAGCAAAAATTTATTTAATTACAAGCACGCCAAGCAACAGCGAGCTACAGTTGATGTAAAAGATAAAGAATGTGATGATCGGAAAGAGAATGAGAGAGCCAAGGAGGAGAAATATAATCCCTTGAGTATTACCAATTTATTGAAGAAAGAGCCACCCAATTTCATAGCCAATGGTGAGAATCACAGTGATACGAGACATACACCTGAGTCAGACAGAGCAAGCTCAGCAAGTTCTGTATCATCAAAACGAAGAAGAATGCTTCCAAAAGGGCGAACACCGTCTCCTCCACCTAACACACCACTTACTAGGCCATGGAGTCCCGGGCTAGATCCTAATGAAACTCCAGTGGATTACAGTCTTCCTATTACCACCATGTACTTAAAGCATCAGCAGAAGATCGAAGCGGAGAAGAACAGAGCGGAAGCTGAAGCTGAAGCTGAAGCAGAAGCAGAAGCAGAAGCCGAAGCAGAAGTGGCATTAGAAGCCATGACAGCCGCTGCTACCGTTGCTGTTGCTGCTGCTGCTGCTGCTGTTGCTACTACTACTGCTGTTACTACTGCTACTAATGCTACTGCTACTAATGGTGCTGTGTTAAAACAGAAGGAGCTCGAGGTGGAAGCAAAATCATCTCCAGTCATAGAACAAGGTGATCTCGAGAGAGAGCGATTTTCACGAGCAACTGGATTAATCGATACAAATCTTAATTTACTCGCTACTATCCAGCAATTGCATTGTCAGGTGATGCTGGCTTTGACCGCAAGACTCAAACCCTCGGTGCTACCATCCCCTTTGATCTTACCATCGACCGCTGGCGTATTCTCGAGTATGTTCATTGGCTCGGATATGTCGATATCAACTGCACTGGCACACAATCATTCGTGAAGATGCCAAGATGAGTAGATGAGTGATAAAATTAAAAAAAAAAAAAATACAAGTTCTAGAGATTCATCTTGATGTGTACTTTCGGCTCAAATTTTTTTCTTGGCTCAAATTTCATTTTATTATCATTTGTAATTCCAGTCTTCGAGTCATGTGTTCTATATTAAATGCATTTCATTCCATAATTGAATGGTGAATAAACTAGTCGTAAAAGTATAATACTGTCTCTTTGAATTTTTCATCATTATACTTAATTTAAATAAAGTTTCATTGGAGATTAATTGCAGTGCTAATATATGCTGGGATATTTTTTTATTTTTTATTTTATTGTCGGACGAGTAGCGAACGTAATCGATTATTTGGCATCTATTCAAACTCATTGAGAAAGACATAGTTTTTTTTTTTAAATTTCTTCAGCGTTTTAATATGAATGTGATGAAATGTACCATTTAGAGTGCAAAGCTGATAATATTGTTGCTTGATCGATGTAATCTCTTGGCCATGTAAAGTGAATAATGTGAAGTTGGCTTTTAAGATGGACAATATTGTAATGGGTGAATAATAATAGTAGATTTTTCGTTCTGTGAGTCTTTCTACGCCATTCAAATGTATAAAGAGCCATATGAATTTATAAAAATTTATTATTTTTCTATAAAATGAAATTATTCATGAGCATTAATATTTCGGAGCACTGATTATATCGAAAAATAACATGAAAATTACGGGTAATTTAATAGATATAGAAAATATATAATAAACTTGTTTTATTGTTTTGTCTGACGAATGATTGGTGAGAGAGGGCGGTATTGTCAGGCATTGAGAATTACATTGGGGCTCGCTGAAAGTGGCCAACTTCACCCCTTTATTCAAAGTCAACTTTTCTCCTTGGTTTATTCTCTGTCTCTCCCATGTCTGGGTATGTATAGCACTAAGCTTTGTGTATAATGATTACATGAGACAGCTCATCCCACCATGAGTTTGTTGCGGGAACATTCAAACATGTTGCAAAACAGTCAAAGTAGTGTATAATAGAAGAGTGAGAATGAGAAGAGTAGAAAAGGGAGAGAGAGAGAAGGAAAAAAATAGGCCTTATGATGTTTGCGTGGCTTTTGCACGAAAGTCTAAAATAATCTGGTAATTAATATGAATGAATAATAAATGAAATGGTCTAAATGAATAATTTTCTTAATAATATGATGCAATCAGTCTATCTCTGATATCCTCTACCTCTAGAAGACATGTAAAATTTGCCTATTACGATTCATCACCTTCTACTGTTAATTTTCATATTGTACATAATCGTTGTAATATATCTCCCATTCTGGATTAATTTGAAAATATAATTGATTATAATAGTGTTACTATATTTCAAACCAAACACATCGACAATGTCAAAATATTTACTGACGTTATTGCAGTTTAATTATCCTTGATAATATAAACAATTAAAGTAAAAGTGTTTAACACAGCCTCTTCCTCGTTCTTCTGGGGGTAATCGTTACTCAACTGTTTCCACTACGCAATTAATCTCACTTGAGAAGTGGATTGTGGCACACGCTGCTATTCTCATGACTGTGTTACATATAAATAGCCAACTTTTGGCTAACAATTAATATAAAGCCAAGCACTTTCACTGTATAAGTTTAATTTTATAAATGGATACTCGGGAATTTTCATGTAGTAAGGAAATTCTCTAGTCAAGTTCGTAACCCTCTTTTATCTCTGAGTCATTCCTTCTTTCTGAGTGTTCCTTCACTCCCCTTGGTGTGCCTCGGTACTTGTGTACCCTTCTTCCTTCCCTTCCATTCTCTTTTTCCCTCATTCAACTACTATATCCCAGGTCGGTGCGATCTTTTGCCCATCCCAACTCTCTACTCAGCTCTCTGCGTTCATATAGCTTCTCTTTTCATTCTCCTCCCTTCTCCCGACCCTTAGGAAAACTCATCCCCAACCCCTCAATTCCAATATAAGGCTGCCATCCTCACCGGCTCACCCTCCCTTTTCCCTTTTTTCCCCGTCCCTCCTTTAACCCAACAGCTCCCCTTTTTCTAGCCACTGGCAATACCGGCTCCCCATCCACTGCTACCTTCACCCCTCGACTTCACAAAATCCCAACCCGAATCTCTCCTTCCATCCTCTCCAGGAACATGCCAGGAGGGCCTGCTTTTACCCACCGGCATTGTTGATATCGATTCACCCCTCGCCTACGTGTTTTTTCTTGGATATTTTTGCGGCTTTTTTCTCCATAAATCCTACCACACAACTTGGCTCGAATGCATTGATAGATTGGAGAAGGAGAGTATACGTCATTACAGCTGGAATAACGAGAGAGAAAAAAAAGCCTTGAACTTGTTGTAAAGCCCTGTAACTATTCAAGAATCACCCTCTTCTCCAACTTTCATCGATGTCGAATCGTTAGCCAACTAGATTATCGAGCTCATCTCACTTCTGCGTCTATTTTAATCGTTCCGCAATCACCTCGTCATTATCATTTCACCTTCATCATATAACTCTAATATGGATTTAATTGTATTTAGTATGTATTACTTTTGTTTCCCCGCCTAAGAGAATATGTTTTGAATATATTTTGACAAAGATCCATTGCTTCTTTTTTTTTCTTTCATTACATTGTCAGGACATATACCATTGACAAATTCCTCTCGATCGTGCAAAACGCGTTCCTGTAAATTGAAAATAATAATGGAAAAGGAAGAACAAAAAAAAACAGTTGTATAGAGGATGAGTGTAATAAAAACGATGAACGAGAAGAATCCAATTAAACCACCAGCCAATTAATAACTGCGGTCGAGTACATGGACCGAAAGCCATCAGGGAAAAATCGATGCTACAAATCGCCTCTAGTTTTTTTTACACTCTAACCGAGGTTTAACATTATTTCGCTCTTCATGAATAAACTCTGAGAAATAGCAATAAAAATATGAAAGTGATAAAAAGTTCATTAACCATTGTCTGACTATCCACTCCGACCCCACTACATTCTCCTGAAACCGTGTGCAAACCGTGTGCGCTCTTTCCGTGGCAAAGAGAAATTAATCTACCCAACAAATCACTTGATGCAATTTGATCACTTTAATCCGGTGGCAATGATATCGATGGGCTTGTTGAAAAGTGAAAAAAATTTCCAATGAGGAATTGGCAAAAAGAGAGAAAACAAAAATGTCAATGTCTCTTGGAGTGAGAGGGTAAAAGTGTCAATTTGACGCCACTTGTTTGATATGTACTATAGCAGTGAGCTCGTTCAACGCTCCATTCACATTTATTTATTGTTCTTTATTGTCTTTCCAGCTACCACTGTAGCAAACGATTATCCCCCCATTCCTTATTGATAGCCCTATATGATACCTACTAACCACATTATGAGAGGATTAACTTTTTTTCAAGTTTTTTTTTTTTGCATCATCAGAGAGAGAGAGAGAGATATGAGGGATAATTTTGGAAATAGGTAGAGATTCGATGTGTTGGTGTTGCAGTTGCTGCTGCTAGGTAGAAATAGTTGGTTTGAGCGTTGCGTGGGTGAATAAAGGGAAAGGGGGAGTTGAAGGCCCTGGGGTCGCGTTAGAGGATAGTGACGGTAGAGAACGGAATGGGGGTAAACGTGGGTGGCTGGGCTTGCGAAACGGGAGCTAGAGAGAGGTTGGGGTTGGTTTACGGGTAGAGACTCTGGGGGGTGAAGCAGTGGGTGGTAGTGAAACAGGGTGGGTGAGAGCGGATGGGGGATACGAACGATGCGATGGAGGTGAGTCTGCAGAGTCTCAGGAGGGTGAGTTTGGCGCCGAGGTGTCGGTCTTTCTCCATTGCTAGGCTACAGCTCCATTCCCTACTGTGCCTCGCCTCCAATCTCCTCTCCCTCTCTCTCTCTCTCTCTCTCTCTCCCCGTACAACACTCTTCTCGCAAACTGGTTTTCTCTCTGTGCGCGCTTTTCCTCCTCACCCTATCTAACCGACCCACTCCCCCACCCCCACCCCCATCTCCACCCATTTCTTCTTCCTCCCGGCCTTTTACCCGTCACCCTCTTCAACTCACCCCTGCTACTCTAGCTTTCATCCTACCGTGCTTTTCCCTCACTCTAGTTTTGTACTCGTACCCCGTACTCTCTTCCAACTTCTAGAACCCTTCTAGTTTCTACCGACGTATCATGCCATCAAACAAAAATGCTTCTTGGAGGAAAATGTTTTTCACCTAATTCAAATAATAATTATAACGAGATTGATGATTATACAGTGTTTTGGCTCTCACAGAAAGAGCTTTAAATAAATAAATGACATTTCAAGGATTTTATCATATTTAAACAATAGTTATTCGTCTTCATCTCCTTACCACCTTGCAATTTGTATCTTTTCTTTCGTGAGTGAAATGAGTTAAGGACGAACCAGAGAAGCAAGATATATATCTCAAAGGGTGTGTAAGAGTTTCGTCGCTTTTACGTTTAGGAGCGTTAGGAAAACGATGAAAGTTTCAACTCTTGGATGATGGGTTAGGGTATGAAATGAGAGAGGGTAACTGATGTACAAGGGAATGGGGTTACTAATTCTTGGATAATGAAGGGACGAAATTGTCAGCCCTTTCTCGGTTACGCAGTGCAACACTTGTATTTTTTCACCCCCTCATTCTTCATCATGCGAATACATCGGCGGCCCCTTCCTCTATTTTACTGGAAAGTCATGCTTTTTTACCAGCCATTTCTTCCTATAGTTAAGTTTCTCCTGCAGGAAAATTCAATGGAATTGGAAAAGCAGCGGTGGAAAATGCAAGGAAAATGCGTAATGGTGAAAAAAATAGCGATGGGATAGGAATGAGATGTGTAGAGTGAGGAGTGAGGTAGGTTGCTGAGAGCACTTTTCCTGGTATTACTTAGCGTCCTGGGAAGCGCTACTTTCATTGGAGCGTACCATGGCGCTTTTGAAGGTTCTTCACTCACACAGATGGTGGAGGACCTTCGACTTGCTCGTTGCTCCGATGTATCCAAGATACGATGATGTGTTTTCATGTAAAGTGAATACTATTCACCTTTGGTTCTCGATATATAGCAGTCTAGGTCAGACCAGGCCAAGTGTACTTGGCACTTTCTTCTGCATAAATATAATTTTCCTTTAACTTATCCACATTGTATCGACAAGTAAAGGTCTCATCTTTAATGGAGTGTGGCAAGAGGTTTCACCTGTTCATTGATCAAGAAGATATGGGGTAGCTGGCGGTATAGGAGTTGTTGGTAGTTTGGTCGTACCATGTGGAGAACTGTAACCCATCAGGGCAATGGAAGAGTGCGAGCTGCTGGGTTGAGCCATAAGAGCACACTATTATATCCATGGATCTCGCTGAGAGGGAAGCCACCCTCGTTACCACCACCTCCCTCTTGCCTCCTCGACTCGGTCGCCCTTCAGCTCTCCTCACGGCACGGTACAGCTGTAACCCCTATTTCTCTGTGTGCCATGTTACGGCTACTACTATATATCTCCCTTCTCGTTCTCAATCCTCAATCCTCTGAGCACCCCCTTTCTCTCTGTGTGCAACACAGAGCCCTCAGAGTCTCGACTCCGACACACTCTGTTTCCCCAATTCCGCACCCCCCCATCACCCCCATCACCCCAATTCCCCCTTGAGTACGCCTGCCGTTACCAACTATAACCCCCCAATCCCCCTTGAGTTTGAAGGTGGGTTGCGCCCTACTGGCGCCTGAATCATCCCGCCCGAGGCGGCCAAAGAGAGAGAATGCCAGAGAGAGGGGGTGGAGGGTGGCTTGACTAGAGGCTTTTGGCCGTGGAATGAGCGCACACTATATATAGTTATAAAAGGGGTTTGGTTTGAGGAGTAGTGTGAGGAGTGGAATGAGATGGCTAGATGGCGTCGAGGCTAAGAGAGAATGGTTGTGAGGGAGGTAAACGACAGAGAGTGGTTGGCAGGGTAACGGGCTTGGCTCGATGAAGGGAGGGTGGAGAGGAGGGCGGAGAGGAGGGTTGAGGAGGGTTGAGGAGGGTCGAGGAGGGTCGAGGAGGGTCGAGGAGGGTCGAGGGGGTGGGGTTGGGCGGCAGCTCAGGGTGACGAGGACCGAAGCCAAAAGGGAATGGGGGTTGGAGGGAATTCGAGCACAAGGTATAAACTCGGGGATGAGAGAGCCAGGAGCTCCAATTGGGAGGAGACGACGCGACGAGTTCAAGGGGGTGTACAAAATGGGGAGAGGAAGAATACTTTGGACGTGTGCATCATGGTAAGAGGGGCGATGAGAGGGGTGAAAGAGGTACGCCTGGGGGGGTATAAGGCTTCACTAATTATTTTTTGTCGAGCTCCCGACAGGGGAGCCCTCTCTCCCAACGACTCCCGCCAATCACTGGCAAATTAAATGAATGAGTCACCCTGTGTGAGTAAGCCTCATTCATCACCAAAAATTCATCGCGTAAAGC